AAAAAAAAAAAAAAAAAGTGGGGAAAGCATCCCAAGTTTTTCTATTAACTCCATGCTCAGTCACTGGCAAGACCAGGGCAAGGGAATCACTCCTACTCTCATTCCAAGATTCCAGTCAATTTCACTGCAACTCTGAAGGTTCTCAATACCCGACTTGATAATGTTATTTTGCAGCTGTTGCTTGGCAAAAGGCACTATAGCTACCTGTGGATTCATAAAAACCTTGCACTGGTTCGCATTCAACAGATCATCTTCTAACACAAGAACAAAAAAACCCCCTTGATTTTGGAACCAGCTTAGGCCAGGAAGAAGCCAGGAGCCATGTTTCTTTCTTTGCTGTCATTCTGAAAATTGCTACCTAAGAAAGATGGTGCTTCCAAAAAAAATGACTGATTACAGAATCTAACAAGAAGGGCGATGATCAAAATGGTATCTACTTCCTGTTCAATTAGGTAGGTGAAATACTGATTTCTTTACCAGACTATGACTACTTGGAGGTATTTAATATTTAATGAAATTACTCTGGATCCAGTCTCTGGGACCAAATATGTCGGACAGTCCTGCTTTAATGCAGTTGCTTTAAACAAATTTGAGGCCTCTTTCCAAGTCATTAAACTTGGACTCACAGTTGCAAAGCACAGATTTAGTGTGTAATTTCACCAATTTGTTGCCTTTAAGGCCAAAGTGACTACTACAGCAGTTAGTCTGACCTCCTCTATGTAATAGGCTCTTATATTTATACTTATTTACTTTGGTTTTGAGCCCAATACCAAAAGTTTGGCTAACTTCTCACTGGCTGTGGCCTACCTTTCCAGAAAGGCATTCCGTTCTGATTTGAAGACATCAGAAGATGAAGAATCCTCCTCTGTCCCTGGTAGTTTATATTAACAGTTATAATCACGCTCACTGTTCAAAATATTTTGCTTCCCATCTGAACTGGTCTGACATTAGGTTCCAACCACTGGTTCTTACGACTTTCTCAACAACATTAATAAAACCTTTAGCTAGCATTTCTCCCTGTGAAGGTTCTTACACACTGCAATCCAGCCACCTCTAAATCTGCTTGCAAATAAGCTAACTGGATAAACTCCTTTTGTATCTCACTGTAAGGTACTTTTTCCAGCCCCTGAATCACTATTTGTGAATCTTTTCTACATTTTCTCCAATTTTTCATTACCCTTTCTAAAATACAGGCACTAGAACTATATGCAATATTCCAGTCTCACCCACTCCAGATACAAAGGTAAAATCACCTCCCTACTCCTATTTATGTTCCTATGTATACATCCAAAGAGCTCATAAACTGGGAACTCATGTTGAGCTCACCGTTCCATACAGACTTTATGGCTAGGGACAGACATTACATAAACTGGTTTAAGTGATCATTAACTGGTTTAAACTTGTAACAGAACATGAGTTCAGTGCACATAAACCAATGTCAAAATGCTGACACTAGTTTAATATAAACCTGGTTGAATGTGCTAGGCATGTGGTATGCTAGCTAATGCTGAGAGGTAGAGGGGTGCGTGAGTGTGTGTGTTTGTGTCCAATTTCACTGGGACAGGACAATGGCAGACAGAGCAGTGTCTGCTTAGGGATTTTTGGAGTTAATCAACAGGTCAGTAGATAACGTCGCTCTGTTCCTTCCTGGAAAAAGCTGTTTAACAAGAGCTTGAACTAATGAGAAACTTTTGTTTTGTTGATGGGCTGATAAATGCTGTGTTATCAGCCCCCTGCTGGCTCCCTCGCCTATCCGGTTTCCAGACAGTATGAAGAAGCAGGGAGAGGGAGACTGAAAAGCTCAGTATCATCAAAAGATGCATGCACTGCACACCCCCACCCCTTTGCCTCAGAGTGCTAGCTGGGGGTTGGCAACACTCCTTTCCCTTGAGCAGCCAGCAGGGAAAAGCCTGGGATGGTGCAGGCAGAGTGAGGGTTTACGCCTTTCCCTAATCAGAGCATCCTGCCAGGGCCAGGCCACACCCTTCCTCAGCTCAGCACTGTCAAAGGGAAAGGAGGGCTGCTCTAGCACTCCCTGGCTTTTAGCCTGAGCCACTGCAAGCATGCACCTGAATTTCTTCAGTCCAGAAGGAATGTCTGTGCAGTTGCAAATGGATTCAATCTAGACAGGTTAAACTAGCCTGCAAAGAATGAATCAACTCAGGCTCAGGCTTTTTGAATGCCCGTCCCTAGCCTATAGGACCAGTTGTTTTCAAGATAAAGGCCCCTATTCTGTTGATATGTCTTGTACTCCTTGTTCCTTTTGCCCTTTTTTGAATATTGATCTCTCTTAATTATGCCAATATTTCTAAATTTATTAAACATCAGAAACTGATTTATAAAAATTTGTCCTTAAGAGATCCTTTTTAAGTTTCTCACCTGGCTAATAAGGATGAAGAAATACTTGCAGTCCATAATATGATACAAATATATCATCCTGACACATCCAATACACAGAATGGAAATATACATTGAACACTACAATTTTTTTGCATCATCACCGACAACATTACCACCTCCATCCAGTTATGGGCCTACACCATTTCCAGGATTTTTTTGTTCTAAGAATACTTTAAGAACTCCTTATGGACCTTAGCTGTGCTAGCCATTAATTTTTTCCTGATGTCTTTAGCTTCCCTAATCAATTTTCTATACTTTATATCCTCTAATGTACATAGATTATTATCTATTTTCCCCACTTGCTATATATTGCTTTTTGCAGTTCTCATTGTTGCCTTTACTCCACCACGGAATCAAGAAGGATCTTTAGTGAATTGAATGTACTTTTTCTTGATTTTAGAATTGTGGCATTCTGGCCATTGAATGCGGTCTTTTAACAGAGCTCTGAATTCTCATTCACCTTGTTTGATCTTAAATCTTTACTCTCAGTCAATTCTGCTCATAATTTTCTTCAGCCTTGGGAGACCAGCCCTTTCGAAACACCAAACGGTTTGGGATCTCGGCCCATCACTGCCAAGCTAGATTGGTGGGAGCCACCTGAGAATGTGTGTCAAGAATTAATGCATTTGTCCATTTTTCTTGTTGATAAAATTATGGTAGTTTTCCAGACTTCTTAGTTCACATGAATGACTTGTACCGTACACCAGATGCCACTAAAGCATTAATAGTAACCATGCCCCGGTCATTTTAATTATTACTGGCAGGGTGGGACTCTAATAATTTGTTACCCCCAAAGGTGGATCTGGGATAGAGGGAAGGGCAGATACACTGGTGCACTTGCACCCCTCTGATTCCTGCTCCACCCGAAGTTTAAAACCAACTGCCTGGCAGTCGCAGCAGCATTTGTAGTCAGGCAGTGCTGAGGGAGTTGAGTGAGTTCATGGCTCATCATAATCTATGCAATCCCTTCTAAACTCTTTATTCCATAGGTATTAATAACTCTCTCCTTTTTAATAGTCTTCTTGTTCCACCAGTTAAGCTATCCTTTGTTTTGCAATTCTGCTGCCTATTAGTTGCTCCTGGAAACAAAGTTCCTATTTCACAGTCCTGCAGATTGTTTTTAACTCATGCCAATGCAGTTATATTTACTTTTGCTTCAATCGTTAAATTTAATAATACAGCCCTAGGCCCAAAGCATATTAGTAAAGCTTCTACTAACTGGGGAAAAATATGTTGTTTTACATGTAGGGATCTACCAAAATTGCAATTTTGTGGATTTCATGGAAATTGTGATATCTGGTAATGCCCATAAAAGAGAGCAATGCCTGCAAAATCCATGAAAATTAAAATAAGAAAGTGTACTGAAAATAAAATGCTAGATCCCCAGAGGGAGCCAGCAGGCCTTACTACACTGTGGCCCAGCTACAAAGGGCAGCTCAAGATGGCGGGGAGCTCTGCCTCTCATTGCTGATTGGCTGAAAGGACTGCCTGTCATGTGGTCCTGCCCCTCCATGATCAGCCCATGGATATGGCAGTCAACCCCACAATCTCCCTGAGAAATCAGTTGAGTTACTCCCTCCAAGTGCTGAAAATATCATCTTGATCATTTTGCATCAAGTATTACAAACTATGCCTTCCTAAGACAGCCATTTGCACCTGCACTTAAAACACTGCATAACTCCAGGAAACAAAGACAACAAAACCTTGATTTAGAATAAAAAGGCCCTATAAATAATTCAAAGAAGTGTGATGCCTTTGATAGATGTACCCAGGAGACTGTCCCAAACTAAAAATTCAGACCTGCACTTTTCAAAAGTTCAGGGAGTGTTCAGATCAAAGGTTTGGATTGATCCACTACAGTGAAAGGCACCAAATACAAATTTGGGATTTAGACTAGAACCTTCCAAGATCTGAGAGTGCTTGGATCTGAAGTTTTGGGTTGAATCCATCTCTCTGATATCTGTGTGAATTTTATTAACAAAGGAGACCCACAAAAGCCAAGATTCCTACGAAATGAATGAATATAGAATACATAGAGAGAATTATTTTTATAATTTCATGACACAATGTTTCCACTCCCTTTATTTTTTAAAACAAATTTACCTGGAATACTTGCAGGAGAAATTGGACCAGATCGTGACTGATTGCTTCCAACAGGAGAGCCTACAGGGGAAGGCGATGGACCACCAGGGATGCTGGAGAGATGTGGAGAAGCATGAGGTGAAAAAGGTGACTGTGCAGGGTTGCTCTGCTCTCCCTGGCTGCTTGTAGAACCTGATGCACTAACTGCTGAACTCAGTGTTGCCTCCGTTCCAGTGGGCAAGTCATCAATGGAGCCAGATAAATCCTGAGAGGGAAAGAAAAAGAAAAGGATAGAGTAGCAGTAAGAACTAACAACCGAACTACAGCACCTGAGAACGGACAGGCAATGGACTTGCAACAAG